GGCTTCCAACATTGCATTATCGGTAGAGGGTATTCGTACATTTTTAAATTACTAAGTATTTTAATTCTGACTTCCAATTAAATTTTGTTTAAATATACATTTTTTCTCGCAACCATAAATATAGAGTAAACATGAATACTGTTTCGTTTATATTATATACCTTAACATTAACAAAAATTATTTAAAATTTAATAAACTAATATTTTGTAGTGAATGATAAAAGCACAGAGATTTCCCAAGCGTATAAAGCACTTGGCAAAAGAATTGCGCGTTTGCTGAATGATCTTTGGATTGAGTGAATGACGCCGTAAAAAATAACGAGCATCAAAATAATATTTCACCGGATGAATCGCATTATATAATAGCACCGATTTCATGAAAATACAAAAAAATGAAAAAATAAAAAATAAATAAAAACCCTGCGGTAAATCTTGACTCTACGGATACTTTATATTATTTGCATCCCCTTCTCATTTATTTGTACCTCTTTTTCCTTTCATTTTTTTTTTCAGTGTACTCTGACCTATAATTTATTTTTCCATACAAGTTATAGCATTTTGCCAGATGATCAAATATAACGAGCTGTCTACTTTTGTGTTCAATTTCGTTAATTAAATTTCAATTAATGCCAGCTTTTCTCTGTGATTTATTATCAACAATTATAAAAATGTATTATAATTATTAAATGTAAATTGAAAATTAAATACGTACATATATGAACCATATTATATAGGATGTATATTTATAAAATACATATGACAATTTCTGATAAAAAAAATTACGAGCACCGGAGCACCTAAATATGCTTTTTTACATTAAAATCAAGTTAAATCTAATTTAAAATGTTAACAAATAAATATTAATATATTAATCCTAACTAAAAAGAAATTGATGAAAATACAATACATTTTGTTACCATAGTTAAATCATCTGTAGCATGAAATTGAAATATCTTCGTCAAAATATAATTATAATTAATAACTGTAACAAATGAATAACATAATATAAAACTGGAGATTTTGTTTAAACCAAGTATATAATTATATTTAATTGTTCAATATACTCAGTAGTCAATCTATATTATAGTTTAATGTATTTGATTTTTTTAACAGAAAATATAAAAATAACTCTAATATTTACCTCCTGTTAATTATAATCGCCTATAAATAATTTATAAATAGTATTTAACGATGAGGTAGTACAAAAAATGTTAAAATTAAGTATTAACTATTAATTATAGTGTGTAAATGTGTGTTTATAATTGCACAATTTTTTTTTTTTTTTAATTCAGTAGTATTGTAATAATGAAGATGATCCATGAAGATTAAATTAAGATGGATATAAAATTAAATTTTATAATTTAAAAAAGCTAAAAATTTAGATTAATTAATTTGAATTATACTTCTTACTATTTAATTTTACATTACATTACAATTCATTTATATTTTATTCAATCTGAACACAACCAATATAGAAAAAACACTTGTAGATAAATGTAAATAAAATAAATATATTACCTAAACGATTTGTTACTTATTTAATACTTTACGTACTTATTAGTTATTATAGTTATATTATTAATTAATTATTGCAATATTATAATATTATTATGTAATATGTTATAACCATTTAAGTTAAACTATTATTTAACTATTTGAACTATTATGTATAAGTCTAATTATTTCAAATTGTGGTGTATTTTTATAGTATTAAATATAAAAATATATCTTGGTAATATATGCAATACCTATATTATATTATTATTATATATATATATATATATATTATAGATACATAAATACATTTACATATCTAAATGTTGATGAGTATTTTGTATTTTACAATTTTTTCATATACAACTCATGACCATGTTATTTAAATATTTATTTAGAAATTAATATGAGAAATGTTATTCAATTCAAATTGGTTCGGTGATTTCTGGATTTAAAACTTAAAAATTTGAACCTTACATTTTAGATTTTTTTTTTAATTGCATATTTCATAACATGTTTAACATGTTTAATATTGTATATGATTTATAAACAATAATAAAATATTATAAACGGTAAAAATCAAAATGCGGTTCAAAACTACTTATTGCATTTTTACATTTTTTTAAATGCAAAATATATTGTTTTAAATGTTGACAAAAAAAAAATGTTTATGCTTATAGGTACCTTACTTTTATCTAAATTTAGTTAGAAAATATTTTAATGTATACTTAACTGATTTTTTTTTTGTTTGCATTATTGCAGCATATAATATATTTCATTGTACCAACCTATATGTATTATCAATGGCGCTTATTTCAACTTTTGAAGATCATACTTATATTTAAATGTGGATTTTAAAATTGTATTGCATTGTTCTTAACTAGCTTATTATGACCTTGTTTGCCAAACTTATACCGATATGTTACAAGGAGTAAGTACAAGGGAGGAAATTGTGTGGGTTACGTCAATGTTTGGAATGTTCAATTAAAAACTAAACTCTTATCGTTCCCGTTGATTGAAAAAATGTCCATTGTCCTATAAAGTTTGATCAATTTTAAATTATAAATAATCAATATAATCAGTTACCTATGTTATTCTGGTACCTAAGTATGAACATTATTATTATGAAAACGAACAAAATTTTTAATTGTTTTAACATTTATTAAAATATATTCAACCTGCAATAACAGTTATAATATATGAATACAAGCGCACATAAAATGAAAGCTTGAGGAAAGTAGTAACCCAGCAGTAACACTCAGACCCGTTAAAGATTTGTTAGACTATAATACAAAATCTTAGAAATAAAAATATCTTAACAGCTGTGGCACCTATGACATGATACGGGTTAGGTTACCGCAGTCAAATGAAATTTGCTGATGATAATATAGATATTCGGTGTGCTAATATGGAGTTTGGAGGTTCTAAGCTTCTCCAAGTATCTCTAAATTGGGTCTCTACTTAAGATATAAAGAATATAGATAATATAAATCTATATGGATAGATCGCCGATCTCATCATCACTATATAAGCTGGATCCAATGATAATATTATAGCAAAATCCGATATTCTTATCAGGTGCCGAAGAAGTAATTGACAAATAAGAGAAAGAGAAAAAAATTAGATTTTAATAATTTGGTGATTTAAGTATTACAATTTGAAATAAAATTTATTAAATATACATGGATATATATACCTATCCATACCTACGTTTTATTACAACTTAAATAGGTATATGGCACCGGTATAGGTAGTTTATATATATATAAGTATATAACTCCATTTACTTAGGCGTAAATTATTGATATTTTTTTTAGGGCACTATAAATAACTTAAAAGTTGTGTTTATATAGGTTATAGGCTTAGGTATTTTCCTCTGGCCATGGCGATAATACAAAAGTTACGTAAACGCCACAGGTGTAACTATAGGCCTTTAAGTTAGGGGGTGGAGACTGGTGGCTTAATTCCTGACATTTATTTATAGCGAAACAAGGTGATGTGTACACTGCAGAAAGTTGAAGCCTTCCTCAGCTATGAGCTTACATTACTTATAACACTGTTAATTTATTTTAATTATAGGTACCTGCTAGTAAATTAAAACATAGCTAGAAAAGTTTTAACATTTTTAAATGCGTTTAATTTAATATATACTTTTTATACATAAGAAAAGAGTTACATACATAATTTTACCTAAATTTTATAAATAATATTCAATATTAAAAATGTTGTTTAATATGTGCACTTCTTTATTATAAATTTAAACATAATTCGTAAAAACAAACCATAAATAAATTAAAGTATATATTATTCCTTCAGATAACAAATTATATAAACATAAATAAAAAAATTAAAGACATAACTAAATTAAAATGACAAATTAACTGGAATCAAAATTCAAAATAAATCAAAATTAATAAAATCAAAACACAACACGGAACTGCCAAAAACATCCTGGTGAACACTGAACATACTTAGTGCAAATCACTGTGTATATTTCGAAAAACGACTATATAATATTATAATTATATTATATTATATTATATTATATACTATGCCAGAAGTATTCAAACTGTGCTTCGCGGCTCCCAGTGGGAGTTGTCGAAGGGAGCCGCGTAGTATAATCGAAAACCAATAAATATTTTTAAGAAAAACTTTTGCTACTATCATTGAGGCACACCGGTTGGTAAACGTTGGATTGTCTACAACATTCATTCATAGAGTCTATGCAACTGATGTCGTATGCACCTACTGTATTTTTTGTGGTCTATTTTTCGATCTATAGGTAAAAATTGTTCGCTGTGAAAAATCAAAATATCATCGTGTCCTATTCATATTAAGTTCAAATATTATGTCAAACTCATGAATGATAATGAAACTTCAGTGAAAATTAATCATTGGAAAAATAGCTTTTCAGAAGATGAAGTTTATATCTAAGTTATATTATAAGGTTAATATGATCGTTCATAGGGATAATAATATACTATGTATAAATTTAAATTATCCTATATTCCTATAGCAACGAATCGGTGTTATGTTGCTCCTTTAAAATTGGGAGAGCTGTGGAGATTGGCCTTGATATTATAGTTCTTAGGCGACGATATTATTCTTATAATATACACGCTATTAAGAAGAGCGGCGGCAGCGGCGGCGGCGGCACGTATTTGCGTTTTTTAACGGGGACGGCGGTCCGACGGAGGGCCGGGCTCCGGAAAACGCGGACCGGCCAACCGCAGGCGCCCGTAAACGACTACCCCTCCCCCTCCCCCATGGCGCGCCGGTGTGCCACTTGACGGCGCGGTGAGAGGGTGGACCGCCGGCCGTTGCGCAAATTATGTTTCACAGAGTAATAATACGCACGCACACGCGCACAGCATATTGAGTTGTGTATATACATATACCATAATATATATTATAATATAAACATGAGCGGGAAAATATACTTTCGTCCGGCGGCGGTGGCGAAAAACGTCGGTTTTTATACATGTATATAATATACACCAAAGTATACATTTATCACGTAAGTGCGTGTGCGTGCGTGAGCCACGCGATGTGTCACCCCGACAGGCTCCTCCTGACGACTCTTCGTCGCGAACGCGTTTAATCAACCGCGCACGGGCGAGCGCCGCTACACCGCCAACAGCTTTTCGTCGAACGTTACCAAGGACGCTGCAGTCGACGACGACGCGCGGTACATACCAGTATATTAATATATCGCAATACCACTCTATTACCTACCCTTTCAAATCTCATCACGATTTCCCAATATCGCGTTACTATATCGTTTACCTATACATAACGTAATACCGCGGTATAAACCACGAGTACATACCTGGAGCAGAAAGATCTTCTACCGCAGTACAGCCTACAATATTCTATCATATAATACGTCCCGCGAGCAAAATATTATTCTTGAAACCTGCTGCGTGTTTTCTGTAAGCCATATCAATTATAATATATGCCTATGTGCTTCAAATATAGGTAATTCGATACACAAATATATTTACGATATTAGAATCTATAGTTTCACAAGTACACCGTACCAATAAAATATATACTCCTGTCGCGAAAAAAATAAAGGCACGTCATCATGGAGTGCCCGAAACCTTCGTTTCTCATCAGGGACTTGATTGGAGACGTCTTACAAACTTCAAAATCATCTGGTAAGTTAGTTTTTATTATTGTCATTATTCTCAAGTGATGCATGATGCATATTATATTATATTATAATACCTATATTTAATAAGTTAACAAAATCAATGACATATACATATACTACTTTTTTGATTTTTAATATTATTATAAGTTGTAATAAAAAAAGGGAGGATTGTAAATCCCGTCAAATCCCGTCCAATAGATTCATTGAATTAGGGAGTTTACAATTCAATCACAGCAGATTTGGAATTATATGCTATTTTATGGTTGAATATCGTCCGACAATGTGCCTAATGTAGTCCAATAAAACAACTACTTAACCCAAAAGCAAAATCATCATACGTCGAAATCACAGCTAACATACCACCACCCGAGCAACCTCTGCTCGCAATCACCGAATTCCTCAACGAATTAAAATCAGTCCTTGATCCTCTTCTAATGGCACTCACATCCTAAAAAAAAAAAATTCCACTCCCCACTACTCCCTTTAAATAACACACACATCATACTTTCCGTACATTCATATCATATGTTATTTTTTATTTACATATTATTTAATGCCATAGAACATTAATTATTAATTAGTTAAGTTTTATTGTTACGTTTAGGATATTCAATTAATTGTCGAGCTAAAATAACTTTTGTTTGAAGCTAATAAACAATTTTTTTTAAAAAAACAACTACAGATTTTATATTGGATTTTACAATTGTTATATTATCCATGTAATTTATCATTATAACGACTAACGACGTGAAATAAGTACAACGTAAGATTAAATGACTATTTTCACACAAATAAAATTCAGTCTTATAGATATTTTCCAATCGTCTATTTGCCAATAATAATAATTAGTAACAATAATAACTAGTAGCAAATCAATTTCCCTATTTAATTAGTTATTAAGGAAGTTATTAATAGTTATATTATTTGTTTAGCATTTGCTACAATTATTTGTTAACATATATTTATATAGACGGAGTCTTAAGTTTGTTAAATAGGAAAGAAAATGTTTGTTTTAAAATCATTTTTTGGACTTAATCGGGTTGTTTTAATTTTTTTCTGTTGATGAATGATGAATATATTAGAGCATCAATAATATCATTGTTTCATTTAGAAATTAGATCATATATCTATAATAGAACATAATGCTTACTGTAAGTTCTAATAGGTAGGTAGTATAAGCTTGATAACATTTTCTTTTTTAAGCTCTATATTTAACACATAAATAGCCATATAGGTATATAATATACTTTCTTATAACACAATAACTTTAGTAGGAATTTACAATTTATTATCTTGAATTGAACTTAAATATTATGGGTGGAATTTAAATATATAATACATTTAAATTATTTTACCTGAACAATTTCTGAGCAGAATTTACCAAAAATATTAATAGCTTTCTGATTTCATGCAGATTTTACATAGGTATATGCACCTGAAAAAACAACCATTTCGAAAATTTTTATTTTATATAAATATCGAATAATATTTCGATTTATATACAAGAGGTTGTATAAACATAAATGGTCAGTGATTTTGTGGTTAGTACAATTTAAGTTATTCAGGTTTTTCTGCCAATTTCTGATTATTAAATATGCATCTTTCGTTAAATATATACCCATCCGGCGATTTAAACTGTGTGTATAATATACTCAAATTTTTGTATTGAAAATAAAATAAATATATTAATTTTAAATGAAGCAAATAGGTTGAATTACATAGTGGAGTATTTATTTTTTATTCTATAGTTAGCACATTTTATAAACTTAAATCTTAATTAGTTAATATGGCATCACCCACTATTTTTTCAAAGATTAAGTGAACTTGAGGTCCCCATGACAGAACTAAGCTACTATAGCTCTTAATAATAGGCTACGCGTGATCAAAACTATTACTTATTTGAAATAATAAATACACCATCTTGATAATCAAACTTCATATGTAGGAAACTCTACTAAAAACAATATGGACTCTAGTGGTGGAGTAGTCTAAAAAAGTTGAATGTTAGAAATATTCAAAGTTTCCAAAATATCGCCTTCAGAAAATTAACAAATTCTCCTTCCCTACGTGTCAAACAATACATTACGACGTAAGGATTTAAAGATAAAAACAAATAAAAATGGAGCCAAATGCTTTTATAAAATATTTCACAATCACCTAGTTTCTCATACAAATTCTTTAGTCCAAAGTTTGACCTCTGCTGATACCAGCTGGTCATCCCCCATATGACATTAAAAGTGCAAGGGCCAAGCGGATAGGTGAGCAATTAGCATATCTGATCGTTCACCACTTTTTCAAATAAGTATTAAAAAACCAGTTTTCCATTAATTTGAGAAAATTCCCGAATTGAGTGATCTATTAAACAATACACAATTGGATAGCCAATAGGGTATGAGTCTATAACAAATAACGGTGATTCTTCCCAAATTAGCTCGTATCTAGTCCGGACCTGGAGCCAAGTCATCTCCGATCTGTATTATATACTCAATCCATCAAAGATGACTTATATTAGGAACGATATTATTATTATACTTATGTGATGATCTGATACGAATAAACTGAAGGAAAATATTTATTAAATAAGAATCATTCACTTGGTAATTTGCGAGATGTATTGAAGAAGTTAATTCATTATTAATTATTCGTCTCTTAATACATTACAAAAACACCACAGCTATTTACTTTTAAATAATTTTGAATGAATTCTAAGTGATATTTTTAGGAAGCCCTAGCTTCCCTTTTGCATTGAGCTTTTAAATTAAAAATTAAAACATAATCATTGTCATGGTTAGATAGCTTAAAAACTTTATGAGTTAACTTTTGTTTCTAATCAGCTTATGCAATTTCATATTACACCACCAAGTCTGAAGTCGGATAGCACTCTATATTACATTTTGGTTCATGTATATCAATAATATTATTAACAGTTTCATAGAAATTGTGCAACGTTATCAATATCATTGTCTGAAAACAAGTACTTTTAATCCACTTGGAGTATTTAGTATTGGTTGATAATCATCCATAGGAATTCGACTTGTTGTATTTGAATTATTAACAATAATTAGAAAAACTAAATCGAGTTGAGAGCCCAATGTATTGTATTATATCATAATATTAGGTATGTTGGTATAAACTAAAAACCGAAAAACTATAAGTAGTTTTATAACACACCAGCTTGGTCTAAGTGAATACCATTGTATACGAGACCATGATTATCATTTATAACTAAAAAAAATATTTAGAAGATTGTAATCACCCAATAATATTAAACGAGTTGTTAATTATTAGTTATTACCAACAATAATGGCCAAAACGTATTCCATAGCATGTGCTCTTCATAGATATTCGTAGGGTATTATGGTAGTATATATAGGTAACATGTCGCTATTACAAACTCGTCAGTCACATTTATTTTCACTCTAACAAATATATGTTCAATGGAGTCCATAGGTACAATTATACTCGATAAATAATATTTTATCTCTTAACAAATAGTTACGCTCGTGCCACCTCTTTTATATGGGCTTGTTTTCGAGTTGCCTTCAAGACGATAATTATTAAAATTGAGGAGACTCAGTTCAGTATCATATTTTGTATCGCCGTGTATCTACATTTTTGTAAGAAAAAAATGATGGTAATTGAAATCATGTATTTTAAGCCGTAGAATACTCAATGTTGTTCTAAGTCTATTAACATTTTGATAGTAAACTAGTTAATATTTGCAACATTAAATATTTAAGTTATGGCATTTTATTATTATTTTTAGTATACTTATGGCGTGTTTTTACAATCAACATATTTGAACATATTTGTTATGATTTTTTGAGTATCATTTTCGGTATAATATTTGAAATGCCTTTAATATAGCTCCTTACTAAATCTTTCACTACATAAAGCTGCACGTTTCTGGTTTAGTTCTTCTTCATGACAATTTTCAAGTTCAATTAGTAGTAGTCTACCGGTTGTAGGACCGTGTCTTAACAATACGTTTGGCATTTATGTTAATTAAATTAAATAGATACAGATATACAGTCACTCACATTTTTTTTCATTAACGTAATTTAACTGAAATTAAATTAGTAAATTATAAATCAATTAACAATTTTTGTATGTTCAATATATTATAAGAAATATCAAAAACCGCCACTGTGTGTGATATTGTCTAAACATATTTAAGTATTAATAATATTGTCATTATATGCTTGATTTTTTTGTTCAATGTCTCCCCAGCCTAAAGGCTCACACCTTGCCATATAATTTTTTACTATAATATTATTTATTCTTGTACATATTAAAATAAAATTTCTATTAAATAAATATAATATTCAAATACTATTTAAAATATAACTAATATTATTTTGATGAAATATTTTACTTAAATACATAATATATTCTATATCTCTATAGGCTATGGTATGTTTGTGTATTGTGTTAAGCAGAATTTAATAACTTATGCTGATACTATAAGTTAACAACAAAAACTTATATAAACTTTACCTAAATTATTAAGCTAATGAGAACACCAATAGTAAAATTCTTTGATAGCGTTCATTGGTTGTAAATGATTTGTAATTTTTCAACACTGGTATATTATTTTCCATTTTTAGTTTTTTTAAATACTTAGCGAACTAATGTTGAATGTAAAATGTATATCATAAGTATTGTGTTAGAAAACTAAATATGCCATCATAAAAAATGTTCACACTTTATTCATCACTCATCTCTTTGGAATTTATTTTCTCTTTTGACCTTTTTTATAGAACTCCGTACAATTGTTTATATTACTTCATACTAATATTACGGCATCCGTATGACTGTATGTAGATTTTAACTAAAAACTTCTACCATGATACTATATCAGATAAGTATCTAAAGTATCTTAAATTCTACTGTCCCTCCTGCCATATTTTAGTAGATACAACAGGCTGGTACTTTTAAAACGTACCTATACTAATTGCTATGATTTTTTGTTTATTATTATTTATTTATGGTGATATAGTCTGTAATTCTGTATATTAATGGTGTAAATTAGTTTGTTTTCAATAAAAACAGCTTAAATATATATATACATATCAAATTGTGTTCTTAGTACTTAAAATCCTGTATACTTTACTTTTAAAAGGCAAAATAAGCTTTTAATAATTTAATATATACGCTGAGTGTACTCGAGACTTAACGACAGAATCATAATCTGAATATTTTATTGATTTCTTGACATTAAAGTAAAGTAGAACTGTAGAAGCCCGTACTTATAACCATTACATTTATTTACTCACGATAAAGGAGTTATAAATAATCACAATTATTTCTAGTACCTATTCTTAAGATCCAAGACATTAATATTTATCAATTCTCAACAGTTAAATGTTAAATAGTTCATCTATTGTTAGTATACCTACATATAAACTACTCCATTTGAACATGTATAAATTAAAATCTTACTTACATATATTATGTTTATAAAAATCATAAAATTAAAAGGACGTTATAGATTTAATATAAATTATAAAAATTAGTTAAAGCTTATTCTCAGAATATATTACGAACTTTCGTAATTTCTTATAAAATGAATCGAGACTATTGTATAGTATATGATTATGTAATTAAAATATATTATAAATATTTAATTTACTCAATAGTAGTTTGAGCAATTTAATTAATTTTCACAGACAAATATAATTACATATTTATTACTTTAGTAATTGACTTAGAGTTTTATTCAAACAAGTATAAATAAGCTGCAGTATAATATAGAAGTTTATAGTATGAAGATGTTATATTTAATGAAAGTTCGTTTTAAAAAATAAGCGTTAACTTTGAATGTAAACAAAATATGGACGACAATTTTCAATTATTAAAATAATATAAGTTACGAACCGAGTTTATAACTTTATATACTTTTTAATTGGGCTCTAAATAAAACGCTTAGGGTACTATACAACATATATGTACTATACGGTTGTTAGATTAAAATTGTCTGGTGGTCGTGTTAGAGAAAGTCTGATATACACCCGTACACCCCCGTATAAGTGTACGAGTGGTTTTGGAGAATCGGACGTGCTCAAGAGGGTCGCCACATGCGACGGACCATTGAATTATCACGACAGTAATTGCGTCCTTTTATCTGCGAATACCTCATGCTGGGCAGTATGAAAAGACTTAAAACAACTCCCCTGCACGTTTGATTTGGTGGTGTTTTTTTTCTCATTGATAATGATTTGAAATGCGTTTCATTAAATAGGACAAGAGTACTGCGTATAAATATTCGCAATTATACATAAATAGAAGTTTACCCCAAAAATCATGACAAATACGATAATAGACTTAAACTACTGGTTCCACATATATGTATAGGGATATAGGGTAGCCTGGGTAGGTACTTTACTGTTGTTAAACATACGATCATTGCCAATGTTTTTCTAATCCTACAAAAATACAAAACTAGTTGCTAATACGTGGGGTCATAGGTTTGTTTAGTATATTATTATACTTTATTATAGTCGTCGGCCAGTCACTTATTGTATTTTGAAACATGTATCTATAAAATTAACATAAAATATTACGACATAACGTTATTGTCTACTCTATGATGAACTGTATTATAATCTATTATCATTGTAATGTGTACCTACTAAACAAAACATTGCTACATATGATATATTTGATTGTGTGTGTAATAGTGTATAATTGATTTTCCATTAGAATGAATATTAGTAATATATAGATGATTTATTAATGGCTTAATATAAAAAAATATTTTGTTACCTTATTATAAGATATGTCCAGCGACGAAGGCACCACCGACATGGATGACCGTGCGTTGGCGGTCAGCAATTTTTCCGCACTTCCGTTGTTGGTGCAAAAACACCACCACCACCATCACTACCAACAACACCAAGACATGATGACCGGGAAGTCGTGTGGCCGGAAAGTCAGGCGCAGAAGGACAGCGTTCACGCACGCTCAACTGGCATACCTCGAACGCAAGTTTCGTTCTCAGAAGTATTTGTCCGTAGCCGATCGCAGTGACGTAGCCGAAGCGTTGAACTTGTCGGAAACTCAAGTCAAAACGTGGTACCAAAACCGTAGGTTTGTAAATCGTTAAATATAATATCATTAGGTATGTTTGCACACGGTCTTTACATGTATTGACACGATAAGAAAATAATGTAATTTTTTCATCACACATGTCAATTGATCAACGATCAACAGAGGTTAAAGCCGTAAGAGGTACCTACACTTACCCTGCAATATAACATAAACATGTATGTAAATTAGTTGGTTCAAACATAAAAAATTATGTAAGGGATATCTAGATAAATCAAATAGATATTGAACTTAAGTTATATGTATATTTTGATGTAAATAATAATTCGTGTTTGTATGTCGATAATTATATATGATGCGTGGGTATGGGGAATATTCTTCGTGTTATTTTTAATCAATATTACGAGCGACTATATAGCAGGTAAGCCCCCCAAAAACAAAGTCCGGCTATTTGCACATACTAGGAAAGGGTGAAAGCCTGTAGTTAAAGCAAATGGCACACATACAACTGAACGTATAAGCGTATAACCCACCTTCACAGTGGCGGACTGGACGACCGGGATACCGGGAAATTTCCCAGTGGGCCGCTGCTTGTATAATATATATATATTTTATTATATTATTATTGCGAAATTATAAATTAAAATATTATCTAATTGTTAATAAGTATGTAAATTATTTTATCAATTTGATTTCTGATGATTTTAAAATGCGGTTCCGGTTTGTGTTCAGCCGGTCCGGGGTTGTTGACAACTTATTGTCACAAGTTTAGAAATAGAATCAAAAATAGTTATTACATGGGCCGTTATAACATCCATATGTATAAAATTTAAAAGGCCGTAAGTATACTAAGGGTCTCTAAAATGATGATTTTTCCGGGTTATTTTTTTCTCCCAGTCCGCCACTGCACCTTCATATACCTACTTGAAATAATAATCGTTCTCAAATTATTTTATACGACGTCGTGTGTTTGTGTGTTGTTATAGGACCAAGTGGAAGCGTCAGAACCAGTTGCGCCTCGATCAGCTACGCCAGCAGTCGGTTGAACCACAGTCGGAAACTTCTGCAGCCGCCGCCGATTACGGGCAGCATCACAAACAACAGCACCAGCAGCACAGGCTGCACTCGGCGGAACAGCACCACGGCCGGCAAGAGCACAGAGTATACGTACCGTCATCGGTGGCGTCGGCTGACTCAGACATGCAGGCGGCTGCCGAAGCGTCGGCCGCCGCACCGTTGTCTTCGTCGACGGCGGCAGCGGCTGCGGCCGCGTTCATCGGCGCTCCGTACCCTGGGGTGGCCAACGGCGCGCGGTGGAACTTTCTGACCACAGCCGCGGCCATCGTGCGGAACGTGTCGTACGTGCATGGATGTCACATGTAAACAACAAATTACAAAATTATAATAGTCCAGTGTAACGTTAATAGTTATTACACTTATTGTAATATGATTCAGTTTACATATTATTAATTTGTCATTCAAATCGGCACGGATTGTATACAGGGTGGTCGTAAGAACGATATCATAATATTACATACAATAGCAACGCTTTAAATAAATAAATAATATTATTATTTTTAGGCAATAAATCTGCACGCACAATATGTGATGGGTTAGTTCTACAAAACTTTTGACAATTATGTCTAAATAGGTAGTACACATTTTAACATCGTAGGCGCAACTCCAAGAGGAACCGTTGACCGAGTTAGTCCCTACACCAATTAAGGGGGGGGCGAAATACTAAGTAAATCTTTGTCCTTTGCATATAATTTTTAATTGCTTACTATATTGAGGTATGGAAGTAGGTACCTACTTTTATAAATATGTTTAACTCTTTAAAGAGATTATGAATAGACAATTTAAACGGACCAAGATATTATGTAATACTATAATAAAAACATTTAAAAAAAATGTATTTAGGTACCTACCTGGCTACCTAAGGTATGCCGTCCCAGCCTCCCTCTTTGAAGACACTACTTAGAGAGACGAATATGTACCTATATGCACTGACGTTGTGCCCGCAGCGGATACTGGCTTAGTTGCTTCGCTGATAAATTAAATTTGAATATCACAAACATAATCATAAATCATAAAATTTAGTATAATAAAAATAGTGGTAGATACAATCTGAGTTTCTCTCTATTTAGTCTACTATGATTTAAATTAACTTCCTTTCCGATCAATACATCGCAGAAAAGGGATTATAATTACAGACATATTTGTCACGAAACTATTCCACTGCCATGAAAGTCTGGTCATGTATATCACGTCTATGTTTGGCATATTATTACTAGGTATATTGAGTACCTATTCGATTACAAACATTTTAAAACATTAGGTAAATACAATTGCGGTTTCCCTTCAATTTGTCAATTTACATACTTTTTATATGTATATTTGGTTTATAATTTCATCCTTGTGAAATGTCACGCTAAACATCGGTAATGTTCCCAAGGAAGGGTTAAAGAGGCTTCAGCCCCACCCCTTGGCCGTGATATAGTTTAAAACTTAAAAAATAAAAGCAAAAGTACAAACCATGTTTCTGAAAAAGGTTTTAAATTTTGAGAGTTATCAACTAGGTATTTGTAGAGGTTATAGCGGTTACGGGATATGGTAGTACCTACCTATAAGGTAAAGAATATCAAATTCCGATGTACTTTAATTGGTCCCTTCCCTCATTGGAAAATCTTGATACGCCACTGCCCACTGCTCTACTCATTAACAACATTAATAATCACATTTGAATTAAGCAAAAAGTAATACCTATCACAGAAAATAACAAAAAACAATACCTAAGATTTGTAGAAGAATATTATTTTTTAATTTGTAATCTATTAATGAATTACTTGTCGTTGTAATTTGTCCTGTCCATTGAATAGCAAATAATGTAAATTAATTAAATATTAACATAAACCTAAATGTTAAATATTGTAAATATTAGTTTTTATAAGAATTGTATTTTTTTTTTAAATATTTACAGTACACAATGCATCTGTTAATGTAGTATGTAGTTAGACAAATAAGAGTAGGCTAGGCTATTTATAATACAATTTGTTTTAATATAATCCAAGTCTTAACTCTAAATCATCAATAATATTCTAATGATGTGTGAAAACAATGAATGCAATTAAGTTAAATAGATTTTTATTAATCCTAATGTGATGAATTAATAATAAATTATTCATCTTAATTAGGACTTTTTTTTCTAAAAGTCCGAAGGTCTTTTAATTTTTGGTTTAGGTTTTATTAAAAATATGATCATTAATGTCTTTAAGAATATTTGAATTTTTATGATATTTAATATTGTTACACAGTGTCATTGAATATTTTTATAATTTTAAGTAATGCTATTATGTATGTGACTAATATGTATAAATAAAATACCTATGTAAAATGTACTTAACATATTTAAAATTAAATAATAAAATATAATTAGTAACTCATTTGGTATTATAGGTTTTAGGTACCTATTTCGTTTCTATGTCATAAATGTTTATTCAGATTTTTTTAATTTATGTGCAATATTAAGTAGAAGAATATATAATATAATATTAATTATGTAAAAATATTATATTACTTACACACAATTTATAATTAATTATCTAATACTGTTACAATAAATACATTTAATTAATTTTTGATTTTTTAATGAAAAAAGTACAATTGAAATAATAAAACGATTAGATTTGTATGTACTTTTATGCATATATATTATAAACAAATTAAGATATTCAGTAAAATGAACATATATCAAGGATATTATATAGTTTATCTATTTTCACTTAAATACATCGAATAAATATAAACATAAAAGTGAGCAAACAAAAGTATTATTATAATAGTTATACATGTTGAAAAAAATGTTTTACACTTCAATATTTTTCCAGAATTTAATACTTCAGAATTAAATATAATATTTAACCTAGATTCCAAGTGTAGTCATTTTGTAATTTAAATTGGTGCAAATATCTATTTTATAGCTTGAACCTGCAAGACATGTCACCTGAAACAATAAATAAAAATACAAGTTCCAATATAAAAGTAGATTAGGAATAAAACGTGAATAAATGTAGAAATGTATGTTTATTTTAAGAATTTAATTAGTATCCAAAGGCTATAGAATATATATTTTTTTAAATATAAATTGAATTTGGAATGTATTATTTATCTATTGTGTATTAATCTTATTAAAATTTTACATTTGTTTTGAATATGCAGCAGCTTCAACTCTTATAGTTTGAAATAAAAAAGAATAGTTTTTAAATTATTTATCATTTAATACTTATGACAGCATAACATTTCATTATTTCAATATGTATGTACTGAATAATATTTGATTTATACAAATATGCACCCCTATATAATAACTGATAATAATTATTCTCATTTTTTTTCCTCTTCAAAGTGTACTAAATACCCAATAAACTGATTAATAAAATATTAACTAGTAAACTGTAGGACTCTAAATAGTATTGTTTTTCAATTCTAATAGAACAAAAATAATTTTTAAAAATATTTAAAAAACAAAAACTCACTTTGAACGGATTTTCCTGGTTAACACAACTGAAAACAGTCACTGGACTAGTTTCAATTTTACACAAAATTTCGTCCGTGAATGATAACTGATAAAAATATTTTGAGCATCCTCCAGCATATAATGTTTCATCCATAAGTTTGGTAACATGTATTCCGGAATCTTCAACACAATTATACACCGTCATGGGTGCTGCCATTGAACGATTCCACAATGACAGTTTTGTTCCACCTCCACATAACTAATATTAAAAACAAATTAAAGTATAAGAAAATAAAAAGTATATAAATATTGAGATATTTTACCATCCAATCTTTAGTAATTGTAACAGATCCAACCCAATTTCCAAGATGGGGTCGTTTGATTTCTGGATTACTACTGGGAATGATTTTTGATGAATATTCTTTAGAACGAACATCCCAAAATATGACAGATCCATCTTCACTAGCCGAGACGATTGTATCATCTCTATAATTATATATTTTAAGTATATAATATAATATTCATAAAATAAAATAATAAAAATATGATCATTCAGTATTACAATTTATCAATGGAATGAATAAAATCATTGTGTCCTTTAAATTTCTGCACAACATCACCGCATTCTAAATTAAATGCATAAACAGTATTGTCGCCACAGCCTGCATATAAGACATTATCCTCTTTGTTTAATATTAAACAATTTACATCTATAGTTAACATTGAATCCCTAAAAGTGTACAAACAATAATTAAAGTTGCTATATGTAATTATGTAATAGTGAAAATCAAAGCAAACAGCAAATTTATGGTGAATACTATTGATTGTAAATACTAGTATTTATTATCAATGTACACACTAAAATAGTTTTAACAGTTCTAAAATGTTTTTAGCATAAGCTATGACATAGAACATGTTCTATGGCTATGATCTAAGCAGCACAAAATAATATTTATATGTTGCCTTTACTTGGGTGATGGAATATTAATACTCCAACTTATACTGAGAGGTTCGACTTTTGAGTTTTCGCCAAAATTATTATCAATAATGGTATCCCAATCAACTCCAATGATAAGTCCAACACCGCCAATTATTAAAAATTTTTCACCAGATTCCATGCTGTTTATTTGCATTTTACGTATCATTTCAAATTCATATGATCGACAGCTAGCTGATAAATTTTGATCTTTGAAGTCAATTCCAGATTGCAATTCATTTTTTAGACTAAAAGTGTAGGATAAAATTATTAAACACTAGTGCTGGCATTTATTTCAGAAGTATTATTTAATTATTTAGTAATTAATTGTATAACTTACTTGTAAACTGTTAAAATTCCATAATTATTACCAGCAATCAAATAGTTCCCACAAGGAGAGAACGTTTGAGATAAAATTGTAGTATAATATTTACTATCAACCATGTTTTAAAATTGTATGACACTTATGTTAATTTATATATATATATTAATATATTATTATAAAGTGAACAGAACATTTTTTTTGGACACATAAAGTAAAAGAACGTTAAATTATGTCCGCTTGGTATTTAATATTTATAAACAATACATATCGACGTTATCAAACATACGTTATCAATTTTGTCATGTTATCACCGGTATCCGTCGTATTAGTAAATATTGTGTTATTTTGGTAAAAAATATAAGCATGACATTACTTGAAAATTATTTTAATTGCATGATGCCTTGCAAGTTGCAATCAAAAATCAAAATCATTGATCAATTATTAAATTATATTATAGATATTGCAATTAGGGCTGAGATTTTGATGCCAGATTTTTCCTGGTGCTTATACCACACGCTCCGTTAATCTCAAGAGAATGTCAGCTCCCTAAATGTTTTCTCTGTCTGACAAACTCACAACAAAGCAAATGTACACTTAGCAGAACGAAATTGTATTATTACTTTTAATATTCGAGCGAATTTTTACAGCATGTATATTGTATATTTTGTGTTGAAAAAGCAGTCATAAGTAGTCTGTCAATCTATGAAAAGATAAACCCAGTTTGCTTAGTAAAAACACAATCTTCTAGTTTCTACTTTAAATTTGTAAAATTAGAAACATAATTTTCAAAAATATTTACGTCACCATACTAGTTGTAATTAATTTTTTCCACATTTTTTTTGCCAAAATGTAGCTTAACGATTCCACAAACCATCTAGATTAGATTTGAAGTTCACTCGGGGGTATTTGTATTATAAAATTCAATGACATGTTCAATTTAAGTTGAAATGGCAATCTACAAGTGTCACTGCAATACATAGGTGAGAAAAATATTAACAAATTCTCATTTTTTTTATGTCAACACATAGTTAGGTCATCATTCACGATTCGCATGAAAAGATAAAACCAGTTTGCTTTTTAAATTTTAAGTTGTATTTAGTTTAATCTACTGTAGGTACTAGGTATCTAATAGTTAATTAAATTACTTTCACAGCAATGATATCGCAAAATGTAGGCATTAGACTGGAAGACCGTCTTCGTTACTTGTTTAGCCCATACAATACACAGAATTTCTGAAGAAATTCGTGGTAAATTTCCTAGGTAGACAAGTTAGGTTAGTTAGTTAACCTATCAA